AGCCGAGACGTCATGGAAAATTTTCTCACTGAAACTTCTTCACGTCCTGACCGAGTCATATAATAACGCGAGAGAAAGCAAAAGTTCCAAAAACGAACGTCTCCGTTTTACTAACTATTTAAATATTCTTTTACGTTTCTCAAAAAGTCAAATCTTTATTACTTGATACGAGAATGAAGGATAAAAATTAAAAAAAAACAAACAAACAAAAATGGAACAAAATATAAAATGTAAGAAAAAATATTATTAACTCTTTTCAAACTTCTTCTCTATTCGTGCTTGAAAATTCTAAAGAAAGTAGGATTCTCTCAATGACCTTGTAACATTGAGATGATCGGTATCCTTCTACGTGCTAGAAAAGTTGATATGTTCGTTAATCTCCCATCTATCGACATTCCTGACGTCTAATCGATATTCTAGTTTACCTCGGTGATAAGGGAAAAGTACTGCTCAGCCATCTTGATGTTCTAATTCTATGGGACTGAAATATTCTTTCTTGGGAATAAGAAATTGTCACGATTCTCTTTCAAAGAAATCTTTTCAAAGAATCTATCTGGATACTGTGTGATATATATATATGTGTGTGTGTGTGTGTGTGTGTGTGTGTATGTGTGATATCTCTTTTTATTTATACGATTTATACGATAATCATTCTTCTTTTCTTATTCCTTTTTATTTCTTTTTGTTCTTTTATTTTTTCATTTTTCTTTCTTTTTAATTTTAAAAGATATTACGAAGGATTACTTGTGTGTGTGATTATAAAGCTTTATATATATATATATATAGTTGCATTTCTATGATATATGTACTCGTAGATAAATTAAAAAGACCAATATTTCTCGTGTCGATATCATGTGTTCAATTGAGCCTAAGTAACAATTAAAAATTGCACAAATAATACAGATGAATAAATTCTGTTGAAAAATACGATAAAAAGTTATAGCTATAGGAAAAAGCAATAAATATTATTATTATTATTATTATTATTATTATTATTATACGAATTCGAATATCGATTATTATGCAAAAATAATATTCGAATTGTGTTTTCAATTAATTGATACAAGTTTTATTTATTTTTTAATAATTTTGTTCATTTTTAATTTATGATCCATTAGCGAATGATATTGATTTTAATATTCATAAAAATCTTTCTACCAACCGAAATGGAAAAATATTTTCAAATAGGAAGAAAGAAAATTCCTTTCGAGTTAAAGTCCAATAATTTTTCTCGCAAGCATTGACGATTCCTGTGCAACTACGTTCCACCCACATTTTAGGTATAAAAGACGTTCGTAGAATTGCGATTTTTGCGTGGGTTTTTCGTAGATCCTTGCCAAAATTTCATTCATACTTTCTCATAAATATCCTCTCATACGTTACACCCCGCGCAACATTTTCACATTCGATGAACGGAATATTACATAACTTTTTAGTTAAACATTTTTACTCGTAATATTATTCTAAAATTATATAATGAATAACCCATTTTTCGTGACTTTGAAAATGAAATCTATTCTATGATCATATCCTACAAAATTATTTTCCAACTAAAAGAGACTAATGATATTCAAAAAAAAATAATTTCTCCAAATAATAGAACTGCACTTTTCACAGACTATACTAATTACCTAATTAAAGTCTTTAATTAATACATCTAATTATACGAAATTCCGGTACGTTCTTTTTTTCCACATAAAATGAACATTCATCCAATTGAAAAACGTTTATTAAATAAGAAAGAAAAATCGGTGAGAGGAAGGGAAGGAAAAGAGAAAAAGAACAAGAACAAGAAAAAGAACAAGAAATTAGAAAAGGTTAAATCGATATTTTACAATCGTCCAAAACCCCGTGCTCGTTTGCATTATCCGTTACTTTCATTAACACCGTCTCTATCGATTCTTATTCCTGGATTAACGAGGAACACGTACGTGAACCAGCTTACGACTTCATAAACACCTTGATAAAGGAACGATCGAACGTGTTATTCTCATACGATCCACAACCTACACGTATACATATACATTTATGTGCCTCGTACGTTTCCTATTATTTCCGAGAGAAAATAGAATGATCGACTGACATTGTTAGAGGATTATTTTGTCTCCTAACACGTGCAGGTGTAAATAGGATTGAAAGTGAGACAGAGAGTAAAAGAGAAACATAATGTGTTTCATATATGTATTATATATATATGTACATACATTCTATATACATGTATACGTTTATACCTTACTCATCGTTTAGTTTCCGAACGAGGGGAAGATAAAGTGAATCCTAACGATAGGTTCGTCCACGAATAATTCTTGGATAAGCTTGGAGCGTGCAGGGAAGGTGAAGTAACGTTTGCATTTGAACGACCTCATTACGAGATCGCATCTCTAGTACTAAAATCTACGTACCCTTTCTCCTTTCTATCCATAGAGTATGTTATTGAAGTAGGAAGGATATAAATGATCGTGAATATTCCATCGAGTTTGAAATTTCACTTCCTTGCGACGAGTTTCTTTTTTTTACTTCAATCTGACAAGAAGGATTCACTTTTTTATTGATTCTAAGATGAACGATGCGGTATTACAAACTGGGTCAAACTTTGTTGATCGGTCAGTCTTGATAAAGAAGCTTGCTCGTTTCTTTTTTCCCTTTTTTTTTCTTCTTCTTCTTCTTCTTATTAAGAAAGTTTGATTAAGAAGAATTAATATAAGATATAGGTATGATTTTTCATTGACAAAAAGAAAAAGTCCAAATTTTTCATTTAACTTGCATATCAATTTGTTTTTTGTTTTGTAAATATTGTCAATTTGACTCGTTAGTACGTATTACGCTAATTTTTTACACATTTGTATTATATAATGTAAATATTTTATAACAAAAAATATAATATATATATACATTTTTAAATAATTTTTAAAATTTTAAAATCTTAATAATAAATTTATATCTTAATTATCACACATTATATATATTTTTTAACTTATAAATCAAACAATGTAAAATAAAAATGGATGAATTATTACACCAAAAATAATGTGTCAACGTGACGGTCAACGTGTTAATAAACAAAAAGAACGTAACAAATTGTATTATATTTTACTGATAAAAAAAAAAGAAATTAAAATGTTTTCGATGGACCTTGTTATACACAAATATCTTATTCCCCTGTTAAGTAGAAAAATAAATCTTATAAATATTTCATTGAAATCTATAGATGTAAGCTACATTAGAGAGTCACGCATACGTACAAATGTATTCGTTGAGCGTATTAAAAGAAAAGTGTATCCTTTTCTTTTACGCGAGCTGACTTTGTAAAAAATAATGTTCGCTCTGGTGCACACGTCTACCGAACGAATGGTCGTGCTAGTCCGCTCTTATCGGAAAAGATTTCCTTCTCCAAAAGCTCGATCCGTTCAAAGTAAAAAAAAAAAAAAAAAAAAATAGAAAAGAGTAGTAAGGGGTTGTCGCGTTAAGAATATCCAGGATATAATGACGTAGATGTAGGCTAAAAGTCGAAAAAATACTAAGGAAAAAAGTTGAAATAGTAATCGAGTTTTCTCATATCTTTTTGTTCTTTACTTTTTGTCTTTACTTTTTATTTAAAAAAAAAAAAAAGCATCAATAAACCAAAGAGATATTGTCGAGTTTAATAACTTTGAAAGAGAGAGAGAGAGAATTTTTATCTCGGTGACTTCGTACAATATTATACGTACGATATATCTTTTATCCACACACATATACAAACCCACATTCACATATACACATATAAAATTAATACGTATATCTCTCATATATATATATACAAGTAGATATTGCGGTAAAAGAAGAAGCACTAAATCGTGAATCTTGTCGTCTTTCAACAGCATATTTCTTTTTCCGGCCAATAAATTTCAAGCCTATTCGAGTATTATTAAACGTCTTCGTACATTATACTTAATCCAAGATCTAATCTTCCAATTTAGCGAGCTTAATTTCGATCAAAAAAAAAAAAAAAAAACAAGAAAAAAAGAAAAAGAAGATAAAAAAGATAAAAAAAAGAAAAAGGTAGAGATAAAAATCCTTCCCTTTTGGATCAAGCAATAAATGGTGAAATAAAATATGCTTGTGACTAGGAAATAATGAAAGATAAAGAAAAGAAAATTGAGGATTTTCTTGAGTAGAGATCTTTTAATGATCGTTAAAATAAAAGGTGTAACAGAAAATATATAGACCCTTTTATTTTCTCTCTCTCTCTCTCTCTCTCTCTCTCTCTTTCTCTCTTTCTCTGGATAAAGAGAGCAACGAAAAAGCAAAGCAAAGAACGACGTGACGTGTCCGACGAACAATTTGGCTAGAATCCAAACCGAGTTGCTCCGAGGCTAACGACATTAGAATATTTGTCGAGTAAGTCCTGTGCCGGTAAAACACATTCGTGTTCTTCGAGGGCGAGGTCGAATATCGGTTTGACTTTACTCTCGTTTCCCCCTTTCTACCTATACTTTATCCTACCTCTACTTATTTTTTATTTTCAAGAAGACAGCAAAAAAGTAAAAGAGAACATAAAAAGAGAGTAAAGAGTGTATGTAAGTAATGAGAGTATGCCTCGTTTTATTGTCAGCCACGTTCGTTACTCTAAATAAAGTATACCTAACTAGCATTAGTTTCTCAACTCTTAATGGTGTTCATTCTTTTACCATTTTCGAAGATAATCTTTCGAAAGAATCTAAGGATCACATTAGTTTTGATCGATATGAAATTTATTTAAATACATTTTATGAAAAGAAAAAAGAAACTTTATTTAATAATTAATTGTAAATATCATGACGAAACACAATCTAGATATTCAACGAAGAAATAAATAAAAGTTTGATGTATTTTACGATCTAGATAAGATTAAAAATTCTGCACTATCAGCATTTATATATTTATTCGTTTCACGTTGTAATATTCAATTTCGAGAAAAGTGAACAATTTGAACACATATATATTCGTTTCTATTCTATAACATTTTCATTCTTTTCACATAGCCGACGAAGGAATGTTGCTAAAGCTGGACTTTCGCGACGAATTCAAGCTCGAAGACAGTCCCGAGTGCCGTTTCGATTTTCTCGAGGTGCGTGACGGCAAACACGGATATTCGAATCTCTTGGGAAAGTTTTGCGGCTCGAATTTCCCGCCTGAGATCACTTCGAAGACGAGATACCTCTGGCTACGTTTCAACAGCGACGAGAATATCGAGGGCAAGGGATTCAAGGCCGTATGGAGCATGATACCAAGACCAACTTATCGTAAGTCTATTCTAGTAGAGTCGATTTCCTTTTCAAGCTCGTATTCCCGACCCTTATACACTAAATTCCATCCTAACATCCACCAGCTCCTTTTATGATTATTTTTTCATATTTTCGTACCTCGATGTATCAACATATTTTTTTTATCTTATGTAAATGCATACAATATATATTTCTTGGACGAATACCATCTGCGTTCACTCGTATTTTTTTCATATCGACATTATGATACATCCTACATCATATTCATCTTTACATTTGAATTTTCACTTTTTCCGGATACCATTATTTAAAATATTTTTTTTTTTTTTTTAATGATTTTTTATTACAACAACCTCGATAAGAATATAATTCAGTAGTTGAAAAGGAAATGAGTATAAGTAACATATGTTTAACACTAACCTTACCTACACTTCATATATACTATCATAAGGGGTCAAATGACCGCTTAAAAAAAAAAAGAACGTATACTTTAATATAGAATGATATTTTAGCCAATTGGATTGTGAATAAAATATTGTATTTCACTTAGAAATGAATAATGTACATTTTATACATTTTTAGCAGAATTCTTAAAAATTGCAATAACCGGTTATTTGACCATGCGTGATAGAGGTGTAGAATTAAAATTTGTGATAAGTGTATAATTAATTACAAACTAGACATGATGATTTAAGAAAAAAAAAATAAAAATGTATAGAATATATGTTACTTTAACCCCTTTCCTTTTTAGCCACTTAATTAAGAGAATTTAGTTTCACTCGATATTATTCGTGATACTGTTAAAAGGAATGATGAATGATCGATTAGAAGGATGTTTCATGTGATCGTCGACGTATCTATTCAATGAGCAAGGACAATCGAGATCTTCCCGAAGCTAGAGTGTTCTGATCGTAACGATTATAAACGATTCATGCGAATGGAGAATGGCATAGTGGTGAATACATTTGGTAGCTTCCTCGCGTGGCTCGTAGACCCCGAAAATTAGGAGACACTTCGAGAATGGATGGTCGAGCGAGCTGCTCCGAGCCATAGCAGTTAAGAGGAGGTGGTGGAGGTGAAGAGAAAGGGGCAGGGGGGATAGAGGGAGCAGAAGGGGTGGGTGGGGCAGTACCGTTCGTACCTACAGTCAGAATTAATTCATACTCATCGGAAGGAACCGAGAATGGGACTATGAATACGTGGAATACAAGCGTGTCACTACTATCACCATTCTGGTATACCGTTCTGGCTTTTGTCGAGAATTATCAGGTAGAACGCGTTATCACTAAAGACGTACCACTACAACGTACGATTGTTTGAACTTCCATCGTGTATTTCAATCCCCTTAGATCGAATCTTGTCGAGATAATACTTTTTTTTTTTTTTTGTAAAGTTTCTATTGTAATCTGTTGAACATGCGGTTAATCTGCATTGTTCCTGTATTTAAGATAAGAAATTAAATATTTTATTGATAATAAAAGGGGTCGTTTTTTTTGTTAACTTCATAAGAGACAAATTTAGGAATTTTATTTTATTTTTCCTGACTTGACGAAACATTTCTCGATAAAGGATTAAAAATACAAATCATTTTATTTTTGAATAAACATCCTTGATTTGTAAATAAACATTGAGAACAATTTGAAGTCTGAATTCAGTTAGAAACTTTTCTCATAATCTGAAAAAGAACATTCGAAAATAGATACGAAAAGATACGAGATTAGGATATTGCTCGTAAGTACTTGCCGAATCTTACGTACTAATACGTACATACGTTCATATATATATATATATATATATATTCATACATACATAAAATATTTCTTTATCGACCAATCCTTATCATACCTTTTATCATAAAAGTCAAGTATGGATGCGAGATATTTTCGAACGTTTGGATCTTATGGAGAATTGATTTCCATTGTTCGAATAAAGTACACTTACATTTTTAATGTAACAAAACGGAACAAACTTTTTTCTTCTTCTAACATCCGGCAAAAAATCTTTCCATCAATGAAAGTTAATAATTCGAATGTAGGAAAATAAAAAAAATAAAAAAATAAAAAAAAAATGTAAAAAATATGATTATCTTAATCCATCTATTCGAAAAGAATTTTTGCAATATTAACGATGAAACAGTTGAATTAATTTTGCACGAAGAAAAAAGTAAATCGTTTTAAATCGAGCCTAGGGAAAGTGTAGAACTGTAATAGGTGTGATTCACAGCCGGAGTGCCACCAGAGATAGAACCATGCATAGTTAATGTGACTGGTGATGAAGCCATAATCAGCCATAACGATGTCGAGGATAAAAAAAAAGTAGCTGAAAAGGAGGGCATACCTTTGGACTGTATGTGGGTGATAAGAGTGAAGGAAGGATGGAAGGTAATTCATTTCTTCATTTTTTACATAATTAAAAATTCTAAAAAATCAGACAATTCTTTCGTTATAGTTAAAATTATAATGTCACATTTTTATAGTTCATTGTACAATTAACATTGAAAATGATTTTCTTAACACATTACATTCTGAGAGTAAATTATTATTATTATTATTTATACTGTGAATTTTTATAGACTAGTAGCTTAAAAATAAGCTTTTCGTTGACTTTGGTTTTTGACATGTCGACTAAACATCGATTCTACCTAAATTCTAATTTTCAACATTTCACATTTTCTTTCTTTAAGATTTATTTATTTTTAATATTATTTTTCTAACAAGTAAAAAAAAAATATCATTCATTTATTTAATCATTCTAAAAAAATGTTAATAATGATCATTAATAATTTTCAAAAGAATCGATGTGTGTCGTAAGTTTCGATTTTATTTCTTTCACACAAACTAACCGATATTATTGACACATTAATGTTTAAATTGGCTTGTATTTTGTACATTTCCGCAACATTAACCACTTGTTTCGTTCTTCTTTTTCATAACTCTTTTTCTTGTTACCTTGATTTGTAGAAAATGAGTTAACTCGTGAAGTAAATGTCTGGAAATGTAGATACCCATGTTAAACAAGGCGAGTGATATACTTGCCTACTGTCTTCTTAATTACTTGAAGAAGTCTCTCTCCAGTAAGTCTTTGTGTTAAGAAAAACAAAAACTAAGAGGAAAAAAAATTAAAAAAATGTTTCTAGTACAAACCTGTTACTCTGACCGTTTTGTAACAAGATATATCATTCGTTTTTCTTTTGGAAAAATGAAAAGGAAAACAAAAAAAAAAAAAGAATTAACAAAATTGTCTTCCGTTACAGATACAACTAGCATTCCCGGACTCGAATCATTTCAAGTTACAGAGGCCAAACGAGTGCGACGCCAATTTTCTCGACGTTTTCGAAGAAAAAACAGATCTGCGTTCACGTTTGAAAAACTTTTGCGGTAGCATCGCCGATACGGTCATAGTTAAATCAAATTTAGCTTATGTCCGTTTTTACGCAGAACCTAAAGCCTTAAACAGCACCTTCGAAGGTGTCATGACAGCAATCAGGGACAAGGATGCTGGTGAAACATGTGAGTTAAAGAATCCATAGGAACTATCGATTAAATTGCAGGATATCATTACATTTCAACTATTTTATTTCTATCTATCAATAAAATATTTTGTTCAATGTATCTATACACTTATATACATAAAAGAGAGTTTTGACATAAAGGATAGCAAAAAATACATAGTTATTTTTAAAACTGCAAAATATTTTTAATTATTTATCTATATTTCTATGAATTTAATTTATCATAATTACAACATGTTATCATTGAAATTCACTATCATTTATATAACGCATAACAATTACTACATTCAATATTCAATATTCAATATATAATAATTACAATCTAATAATATAAATATAATAAGATAATAAAAAAATATGAGATAATATAAACTTTTAGTTTGAATAGAAATCGAATAAAATAAAGTACATTAACTTTCAATTCCTAATGCTAAATTATAAAGAAAAGTATACTAAATAAGAAATATTATATGATATTCAAGGTATCTTTAGTTGTACAATTTTGATAATTATTCTCTATATATGTAAATAAAATGAACAAAATTTAATTTTCTTTTATTATCCCTTTGATTAAATGTTTATTTCAATGATAACAAGAAATACGCGATGTTTGTAAACGAATTCAATCGTTGATAGAAATCATTTGCAACGTAGCGATATCAATTAGTTTAAAATTGAAAATAATTTATATATATATATATATATAAAGAGAATCGCATACATTTTGTCCGCTTACGAAAGAGAGAAAATTGATTCAATTAATGCTTGTTAAATTCATATACTTACACTTGAGTTATACGTTTATAATTTACTTAATACATTGAAATTGATGCAGTCAACGAATTGATCTTTATTAACTTACGAAATATTTTAATAGATTTGATATCATTTTAACAGAAATTAGAGGATTAATCAAGTGAATGAAATGATAATAAACGTTGAATGCTACTGTATGAACCATTAATTAAATGTCATTTATTATTAGGGAACTATGATAACTCGTTGTTGTTAATAACATTAAAACGATATTAAAATTTGGAAAGAATATCTGCTAACTAATATGAGTAAACGAAAATAAGCGAGAAAGAGATAGAAAAATTCAGTCTCAACAGAAATAACAACACAAAGAGTGATTTCTTAATAATATAATAAAGAAATATATCGATTTTCACACGATTGTTAATAATTTTTTTTTAATTATTTTCTATTTTCCTGACAAGCTTCATTTGTTCTTTCTTTTTCTGTCCTTTTCCTATATTACAAACAACGTGGACCATCCCAGCGTTAAAATTAATTAAATTCAACGCTGGCGTGACTCGTTCGGACATGTAGGTTTTTGTTTTCGCAGATTAAAACCTACACACGTATTACTCTCTAATGAAAGTCTTGAAATTAGCGTTGATATTGTCCAGTTTTTGCATTTAAGAAAATTATAGAAGTAATATATTTTTGTAAAACTTTTAAAGACTGTTTGACTGTCTCAGAATAGCCATCGAAATGAATTATTGAAAAAAAAAAAAAAAAACATTACCATAAGGAAAAAAAATTGATTGTTATTAATTACATTGGCACTAAGATTCGTTTATATATTTTTTTTATTAATACTCTCAATGATAATTGCTTAATTATAAAAATACAAATAAATTTTGCTAGATAATGTGCATACGATAGTTTTTCATAACATTTATTCCTTTCAGAAAATGAAAAAGCAATATGATATACTGATAATATATTGCGTATTTACTTATTATTATTAAAATCACACAAAGGAAACAAATTTGGATAAAAATGATAAAATACATTTTGTTTGAATATACGTAAGTATGCACATTAAATGTTAAAAAAAGATATTTTTATTAATTATTTAAATAATAAATTGTACTAAAAAAAAAAAAAAAAATATATATATCTAAGTAAATAAATTTTATAAATACGAACAAATTTTAGGGTTGCATCAGGGTTTGTTACTCTGACGCAACCTCGAACGATTATAAATACAAACACGTATTAGGTAGTATCTATCTTTACTCTAATAATTATATAACTGTGTTATTTAAACGACGATAATAATTCGATAAAGGCCACGAATTCGAAATTATCCCTCGCAAATCCGCTATGAATCATAAATGAGGTAAGCCAAGCAAATTCGCAATTACGTGTATGGAATTCGCGTTAGATATCGAAGAGAAATCCTACAATTTCAACTATCAAACCTTGATACCGATCCTGATATCGCGTGCTGCAAGAGAGAAGGGAATATTAAATGTTTAAAGGGAAAAATCGAATATATATATATTTATATACTAGTATTTATCTTTCGAACATTTCATCAGTTAATACAAAATTCAATTAACGCTTATCTCTTTCTTTTTTTTTTTCTTTTGTATTACGAATGAAACGATTTTATAATAAAAAGAAAAGAAATGAAAAAGGAACGAGAAAGGAAGGAAACAGACATAAAGTTTACCCTTTATCACAAATCCGAGTTCTCAGTTTTTTATTTACGACAGAGACGTGTTTTCCTTTTATCTATCTATCTATCTATCTATCTATCTATTTATCTATATATCTATCTATCTTGCTGTCTCTTTTATTCTTTATCTGTCTTTCTCTTTATCTCACACACAATCAGTTGAAACGTCGGAAGAGTTTCAAAGAGGTCCTTTAAATTTCACAGCATGCAGAAGCGGAGAGTACGACTGCGAGGACGCGACCTGCATCGCCTTGAGATTACGGTGCAACGGAAGAGTCAACTGCCGCTTCCGGTGGGACGAAGACGATTCGCTATGCGACGTGAGTGGTGACTCTCTCTCTCTCTCTCTCTCTCTATCCAAGAAGAAAATCCAATAACCGACTTTCTATGATCACACTAGTAGGGTGCTTTCCAATTCTCGACTTTGAAAATCGCCGTGCATTCAGTTCTCTCCCTTTTCTTGTCGAATCGCGTTATTTTCAAGCTCTTTCTCTCTCATTCTCTCACACTCTCTATCTTTCTCTCCCTCTAACCATCTATCTATCTCTTTTATTTTCCTCCCATTTTATCTATTTCTTTTTCGAGAATAAAGTTAATCCTCTTCGAGGAAAAATAACGAGAGAAAGAGAATAAGAAGAAAAATTAAAAAAAAAAAAATTAAAAGAAGATGAAGAAGAAGAAGAAGAAGAAGAGAAAGAAAAGAAAAAAAAAACCCCAAAAAAAAACTAGGAAAATAAATCCTCGACTTTGTTAGGACACGATCGTAAGAGGAAAATTACGCGTGTAAGTTTAAACCTCGTAATTCCGAGGCTTTTCGCTGTGTGTTTGTGAGAAGGGATAGCTGCAAAGTTGACTATCGTAAGCGGTTTTATCTCTGATATAGGTAACCCAGGAAACCTACCTACCTATTATACGAATTTTCTTAGGTAATCGTACACCTTTATTATAAAACATTTTCGAAATTTCTTCTTCTTCAAAAAAATAATCCTTTTCAAACAGCTCAAATATATCGACAAAAATTCTATAGATATATTGATCTTTCAATTCCAATATCAATAGAAACCATTCTAAAGTGAAGTATACAAATTTTTCATTTGAATTAATCGCCTTTTACTACTATCAATAATTGAATATCTCCACAATCCTTTAATCGTCACATTTTTATATTCTATTCTTTTTTTTTTGTACGTCTGAACTATTTGTATTTTTCAATTGAAAAAGAAACCAAGAAATATTTCCAACATTAAATGAAATGTACTTTTTTTGTTTTTTTTTTTTTTTCGCATTCTGTCTATTATTATTTTTTTTTTTTTTTCCAGATCAATACTTGAAATTAATTGACCTAAGAAACTTCAAGAAATATCTCTTAATTGCTTTTTAGATATGAAGTCTCATGAGTATGATGCGTTGCAGATTTAATCCTCCGGTCTCGTTCCTCCTCATTTTGTCCTTCTCCAACTCTAATTAATTTATTCGAGGCAAGTTTTGCTTTCAACTAACTAATCCCTCTCTCTCTCTCTCTCTCACACACACACACACACACACACACACACAAACACACTGTGTCTTTCTCCATCTATCTATCTTTCTCTGTCTCTATCTTTATCTTTGCAACGTAGCCGTGGTTCCTCCCATTTTGTTCGACCCCTTCTAACCGTCACCATCTCGTACTACTCGTTCTCCTTTCCAGGAAGCTTTTGGGAAATTCGAACGTGTACCGTCGGTTAGATAGGTGGGTGTTTCCGCTTCCGGAACGCACAATACCATGCGCTTTTGGCAAAGTACCAGGAACAAATCCTGTAGAAAGGACGCGATGGCACCGACGGGATATTAATCTATTGTAGACGAATGACCATCGTCTCTCTCTCTCTCTCTCTCTCCCTCTTTCTCTTTCTTTTCCCTTCTTTCTCTTTGAATATATCTTTCTTCTTCTTTTCTTTTAAAATAGGTGTTGAGTAAAAGACAAGTTTAACAAATATTTTTACAACTTATAATAAATATCTTTACCACTATTCTTTTCTAGTTCATTGAAGTTCTTGTTACTTTTTTTACAAACATTTATAAAAATTCAGTCTTTGATAAGGTAACATAAATTTGTTTTTTCTATTCTTAAAAATGTGATATATTAAATCTTTTGTATTACTCCATATAAATTGTTTACAATTCGTTTGAATAATATCATACTTGCGAAAAGCTTTGAAAATAATATTAATGTTTATTGTTCTGTATGTATAAAAAAAACAAAAAAGGAAAAAAAGATTCCACATAAAAAAAAAGCAGAACCACAGTTGAACTATTATATTAATCGTTCTTTAATATCTCAAATCCATTTATCTGTTTATTCATTTGAGTGATGAAATTTCAAAGAAATAATGAGAGAATGACAAGCTTGAAAATGTCCGATAATCTAGTTTCTGTGAGTAGATTCGTTAAATCGAAAGTTTAGCTTTTGTGGGAATCGTTTTCTATCCTTTTTACGAAGGATTTTACAAAGTGAAACGGACAGGCGGTAACAAAACGATACGACGTCTATTCTTCTCGAGACTGTTCTCGTTTTACCGAGAAACGATCGTAACTACCAAAGTTATAATAATACAACGTTGGAAAATGATCCACATTTAATCCTATTACAAAACGAACGGGCCGTTAGCTTGGTTGTGTCAGAAATTTTCCCCTATTCACAAAGAGAATTTCTCTATGAAGCCCGTGCCTTTTCTAGTGTTTTAAAACGAATTTTTCTTTTTTTTTTTTTTCAAAAGAAAATAAAAAAAAAAAATAATAATAATAGGAAGAATCTAGGAAAATTTTCTGGTTATTGCGCGTATACAGTCAGAAACCGAATTAAAATTTTGTCCATCGATCGTGCATACGCACGTGTTGGTGTTAAACGAAAAATGGAAAAAAAATTACAAAATTCCACGAAACGATTAGCGAACTAGCAGAAACCGCAAAATTCGCGAGAACTTGGCAAGCATGCAAATGGCGACAATTTGCTTTTGCTCTTTCATTCTCTCTCTCTCTTTCTCTCTCACTCTCCTTGTCGCATTATCTTTTAACATTTTCTTCGATTAATCACTAAATAATTATGATTTATTATAATCCGCAAAATGTGCGTTATTCGCGTATTCGTTGAACTGTAAAATATAAAAAAAATGTTTATCTCTCTCTCTCTCTCTCTCTCTCTCTCTCTTTTTTTTTTTCTTTGGTTATTTCACACTTTACTTTTTCTACGTCCACGTGTAGATCTCTCGACCACAATAAACCAAGAAAAGATTGTACGACACAATAACCGTCCTCCGTTTCGCTTGAAAATGCGAGCATGAAATTGCTCGTATGGAGGAATACATGCGGAAGCGTGACAAAATCGCGATCTATAAGTTGGGACACCGTTCTACCATCCAATTTTATTTTGGACGTAATAGAAAGTAGCACCGTTCAAGAGGGAGAGATAGAAAGATATATATAATATATATAAAGATAGAGAGAGAGGTAGAGTACTGTTGGTAGACCGGTCTACAAAAATCATAATGGAAAGCATATAACATATATATATATATATACATGTGTTGAAAGCAACCATTTTTGAATTATCCAAAATCGCTTCATATATTTCGAAAAGTTATAAATGCGCAATAATAATTATACGAAAAGGAAGAAAATAAAAATACAAAAGAATAAAATTATGAGAGAGTAAAATGTAACGCGTATTTAAATAATAACGCATTTATCTGTATAAAAATGAAAGAACATATCTCTACATAGATATATGTACCTGTATATATATATATATATGTAAATGTGTGATCGTTGTAAATGATACCTACACAGTTTTCATTTCTTTTTTTTTTGTTTTTTTTTTTTTTTTATTTCTTTCTCTTTTCTACTTTTAATTTAGAATTTGAAAAGAAATATGCCATGGCGTAGCGTAATACACGTTCGAGACGGGTAATTACCCGACACACATGTGATCGTCGTAAATAATATCTATACGCTTTATTTTTTGAAATGTTTCTTGTTGTTTTAATTTTCTGTTTTTTTTTTTTTCTTTCTGTTTCGAAGATACAAAAATACGTAAAAGCATGCGTGATATTTGTCTAGTTAGACAAGTAATAGCATTGACATTGAAAAAAAAAAAATTCAACTTTTCAATTCCGTCGTAATTAATTTGATAAAGAATTGATTGAATAACTTTGACTTATAACCGCGATGCAATTTCGCACGAATTTCACGCTAATTCCCTGAACGTGTTACTCTACGAAATGGGTGTTAGGAGGACAGAAGTGGGAGTATTGCAAGAAGGGGTGGGGATTATAGTAGAGGACTGAATATGTACGTGATATTTAAAGAGATTCAAGATAGTTGGTAATTCAATTAATGCGGCTAAATTTGCTCATTTCCGTTTAACTTAATTTCATTTCATTTGCGTGATTAAGATAAAAATCTTGCGTGTTTCGTGCATTAGTGTAAAATTACAGCTGGATGTAAGGCCATATTTATTTTTATTTAGTATCAAAAGTTCAAGGTTGTTTTTTTACAATCTATCAATTTTTTTTTTTAGCATAGATTTCTTTATTTCAAAATTCAGTCCAACGGTATTCTTCTAATTAATTTCTTATGCTTCATATTTTTTTTCATAGAATTATATTTATTTATTTTTTTTTTTTTTCATTTTGCTTTCTCAGTTATTTATTTCTCGGAAAGGATTTCTTTTCAAACGTCGATGTTTACGCGACGGAAGAACTACTTGAATATTTAGGGGAAAATACTTTTAGTATACTTATCTACTTACATAAAAGTTACTAGTATACATATATGTATGCATCTACGTTTCCTTCGAATTTGTGTTCTTTTTGTAAGTTCTTTTTTCGTCGTTTCTCCATCCCCCTTTAATTACTTCCTCGCAACGGAGAGTTTTCTTTTGTGTACGCAGTAGCAATAATGTTTTTATTTATTTTTTTTATTGCTATTATTTCGATAGAAAAGAAAAGAGATCAAAATGAAAAGAAAGGAATGAAAAGTAACAAAAGAAATGCTGCTTTACTCGATATAAAATGAATACTACAATATGATAATCAATTGATGTGAGATTCAATTTAAGCTTGGAATTGTTCCATACACAAAAAACATTACATATATATATATATGTAATACGTATACGTCACATATCCTTGAAATAAAACGCGATCACACAGATATTATCCGATCGACAGGTTGGATAAGAGCACGTAATATGAGTTGCTTCTATGTTCGTCATGTCATCCCTAAGTTTTCTTTGATAAAAGTGCTTCCAAAAGCCATTCTCGGTGCTCCCATGCTACGTGTCACGTTAAATCGTTCATGACATTGAGTCAATATTACACACAAGTATTTCTTTACGCTTTAAGGGTCTCACCCTATTCCACATCCCCTTTCTCATCCTCCTCCTCCTCCTCCTTCCTCCTCCTCCTCCCCCTCCTCTTTCTCCTTTTCCTTCGCAACAATAAGAAACGAAGTGTATTTTAAAAATGAAAATGATAACGTATCACTCCTTCCTTAACAACGGCTTTAAAGTACTTATTAATATAAATAAGTACGATTATATGAAATGAGAATAATGAATATTTGTTTTATCTTTCATTTTATTTTATTTTATTTTCATCGTTTTTTACCATTTTTATTAATCTTGATTATTGAATATTTCCTTGCTAATCTTAACTCTGTTTATTAAATATACTGAGTTCAATTAACAATAAATTATTATTGTAATTTTTCTTAAACTGATATTAAATAGATAATTAACATTACTCTCGAACATTAATTATTCATTAAAAATGATTAAATTTGCAACATAGCTTAATTTGAACATGAAAATTTGTTGATATTTATTATATTTGATATAAAAATCAAACTCAATAAATATTACAAACAATAAGATAAGCGCATTGAACTTAGATTTTAAGCAATTTACAATATTCATTTTTAAAAAACATTAGTTTCATTTTACAAATAAAACTTTTATATCATATATAATTTACCGTTTAAACATGAAATCTGTAAAACCATGATATAACTATACTAAATCGTTAATGTATGAAACAAGGCAAAATTACATAATTTTACATATCAATGGCTTTCACTGGACACATATATGCATTCATAGATCTCAAAGGACTAAATATTTACTTTAATATAATGATTACATGACTATGATACTATTGATAGCCGATTTAAAAAAAAAAAAAAATAATAATAAATAAATAAAATAATTTCAAGATGAAATGTGTAAAAAACAAAAACAAAAAATGGACATATTTCTCTCTTGAAGATATTTTGAGACATTTAATTTATCCGTCTGACACGTTTAAGAATCAATTCGATTGTTTCTACTTTCAAGATCGTAGTAGACGTGAAGTCTCGACAACAATACGTTTTCTCTTGTAAACGTTTTCACCACGGATTTCCTGGCTTTTCTAGAAATTCGTGTAATTGAAGTGTTTAAAGTAAGATTCGTTGAGTGAAATGTTTGTTTTGCGTAATCGTGACTACTCGTCGTTTTGAAATAATATTTTCGGGAAGAGTGATATCAAAAAGAAATCACACAGATAGAGTAAGAGAGAAGGAGAGAAAGAAGGAGAGAGAGAGAGAGAGAGAAAGTGATGGAAAGAGACGAACAAAAAGGGACGTAAAGACAAAGAGTATAGTTAGACGAATAATAATTAGCTTGCTACCCAACGCGTCTCATCTTCTTATTAACGTCTATCGTTGCACCAGCCAATCCCCCTTTTAAACTTTAAGAAAGTCATCCTTTCGTAACATGATTAGACAAGCTTGTAATTAGAACGTTCTAGTAATTAAGATAAAGCTAGTAAAATCAATTTATTTACATTAAGAAACGATGATACTCTTTTCTGGGTATTAAGAAAAACTGGCAATTAAGTTGTGTTAATCAGGCATCAAATATTATATTGTTTTAAACGTTCGCGTAAAATTATAACAAATCGTTATTGTTTGAATACTTTTTTGTAATTGTTTGTTGTTTTTCAATTTACAGCAAGAAAAATCAAGCATCATCGACTCTCAACACATCGTCATAATACTTATTGTTTTTTCTCTCATCATTTTTGGCATGAGCTTCGCGTTCTTCTTCAATTGCGTGCGGAAGTTAATTCGTGATCATCGTATCATTCAGGTCAGTAAAAAATTGATTTTTTTTCTTTTTCTTATTGAACAACGAAATTAAAAAAGAAAGAAATTAAAATGGAACTTTTTGCGAAAGTTATCGTCCTTTTATCGACTTAACTCGCGAATTGTGAGTCATGGCGCGTCGCTTTCGACGTAGTATCTTCGGGATTTCAATTACGCAATACACGTAGCAGCATTTCGTTCGATTCTCGCCTCGATCGACTCACGTATCTACGAGTAGAGACGTGCCTAACATTCACTCGTTTTCGAGCAAAAAAAAAAAAAATAAGGGAGAGAGAAAAAAATATAGGTAACAACGTTTATTAAAAACCACTGGAATGGATTTTTGAAATATTTCCAAAATAAAATTGAACCGAAAATAGATGCTATAAAATAGAAATTTTTTTTAGCAATTAGTAATGAATTTTGTCCCTATATAAATTCGTTCAAATAAAATTTACTTATTTCGTTATTTATTCATTGGTTTTCGATTTAATCAATACTGGTATCGTATTAAATTAATCAATTTCTAAAAATGGGTATGGAAATGAAAGGATAACAAATTAATTAGAATTGTACACGTTTTACAAAGATATATTGATTAAGAGACATTAAAAAAGTATATAAAATAAGAATAGTAATAAAATTATTGAAAAAGTTGTCAAACGTATTTTTCAAAATTGAATAAATCTATTAGAAACAATAGATACGAGTGAAGAATTCATCTAACGATAATCTAACTTAACCATTGCCTTTTATCTGTCTAGGAACACATAAGACAATCTAGAGAGAATCGATTGGATGAACTAGGTCGTAAATCTACTCCAAGGCCACTCTCAACTTCGAGAACAGACATAAGAGACCGAAGTAGCGAATCGCCAAGCTTAGAAGTGGTGCCGAGCAAAGAATTATTACCACCGAGCACGGTTATACCAGAAGAATACACGGTAGCTTATAACAATAAAATCACTTACAACGGTCGAGACATGAACGACATACATCAAAGTAATAATGTAAGCAACGCGACTCAAGAACGGTTGCAGGAATCAAACGACGAGCCAGAAATGCGAGATAATTCGTGTCAAACTAGGGAAAGTTTATTCGAGCCACGATTATCAGACACCATAGTAACTCCAGCGTTCACGACTTTCGGATTTCGGGGCTCGCAAAATGGGACCAATTATCATCGTCATCACCATCACCATCATCATCATCACCCGCAAAGTCCGCAAAAGTCACATCCAAGTCCATCGCTTTCGCATCAGAGTTCTCAACAATCTTCTCAACAGAGCTCGCATCAGCAGAGCAGTTCTCAATGTTCAGGATGCAGTCCAGCATCGAGAGGGCGAGATGGTAGTATGGGTGTCTGTCCAAAGCATAATCCAATTCCAGCGCCACCAGGATGGTCGACTCACGAGTTGAGTTATCCTCCTCAACACCAATCCGGACAATATCAAGAAGTCACAGACTATCCTTCCTATCAGAGGTTTCAAAGTCCAAAACCTAGCGGAGAATGTGGTACCTATCATCAGTCTCCTAAATTCGTCAGACAAAATACTGTAGGTTCTGGTGAAAGGTACGGTAGTTCAGTTTATGGTTCTGGTCAAAGTTCCGCACAAATTTCTGGCCATGGATCGAGCAATGTAACATCGAGTACACAACACTCGACATCTTCTAAATCCCAGCAACAACAACAACAACAGCAGCAAGCACCAAGTGACCCAAGATATAAAGCCGAAGCTATCATCGAGATCGATCAAAGGAGACCATTCAGCATAGAAAGCACAAAATCTGCCCCGGACGTTATAGCGACGCACTGACGCCGGGGCTATGGGGATTGGGAGCCCTATAGGAGACGCCATCCCCGTAAAAGCATAGAAGACACACAACAAATGAAAGAAGAAACAAATAGCGAACGAGTTAAAATAACTGTTGCTACTCAAAGCTCATTGGACGATGACACATCGACCAATTCGACGATAGAACAAACCTCGTCCTCCTGATCCACGCATCAAACTGTCGTAGTCGAACCACCAGAGTCTTTCATCGATGAAAAGGACATCTCTGATAAATCGTCTCTAACTATTTTACCTGAGACACAAAAAATAAATCTGTTCAATGAACTCGCTCTGGCAAGATTGTCTCCGAGATTGGACGACTTACCGATCCTAAAACCACCCGGTGACTTTGGAGTGCCTGTCTTCAAGTGCAAAACACCTTCCCTATCCTGGCAGCACTGTGGCTGTCCTTCTCATTCTCATTTACCATCTCGAAGATCGACGATCACCTGGAGTGCCTTGAAACGTTGCGGACAGGACGCCTTCTATCGCACTTGGCCTAATCGATCCGCTAAAAGGCTGCCAAGACCGCAGAAGAGGACCGTAGGTACTCAGAGTTCCTTCGACGGTGTTAGGTCATCACTTGGGACTCTTCGTTGCGTGTCCAGATCGATCGATATGACCACGACTACGATGGATCAGGAAATTGGGGTATCTATACCTTTCTAACGATGGATTTATATGTTCTACTCTTCCGCCGATCGTTTTTTCCATGATATTTTTTTAAACTTTTTTCTTTTCTTTTCTTTTTTTCTTCATATTTTTATTTCTATAGATTTTAAATAATCCTTATCCTTGTTCTCATATTGAGTTTAAACGAGAATAAAAAATCACAAATATTCCACGTAGAGATTCTCAGGAAGAGCGAACAAATGATCCTAAAAATTGAATGAATATATAAACTTTTAAAGAGAGAGCATTTTTAACGATTGTCCAAAGGCTGTACGTAAAAAAAAAAAAAAGAAAAAAAGAAAAAGAATATCGCTCTTTCATTCCTATTACTGTGAAATAACATCCTCGAAACAAATAATAGAAACATCGCGAAATATCATAGGATCTGAAAGATCATGTCCGTGATTCTAATCGACAGAAATTTTCTAACTCGTTGTTAAATAAAGTAGAAAAATTAAAAGTATATAATTGATAAGAAAAATCACTGCCTTCGATTCCTAAAAAAAAAGATGAAGAAGAAGAAAAGTTATAAGAGATCTAATTCGCGAGCATTCATAAAAGAGAATGAAAAAATACAATAAAAAAAAAAAAAAAAGAGAACGGCCTAAATCGTAATGGAATTCTTTCGTGAAGTAACATATCGAGAGAAAGAAAATGAATTCGTTTCTCGACAAATCGTCGAGCACCGTAATTGCCTAAAATTCGAAGGGTAAAGTAATAAAAAAGAAAGAAACAAACAAACAAACAAACAAAAAATTAATAATTATTATAAATATAATATTATTTAATATTAATAAAAAATATTAATGAATAATATAAATAATAATATTGATAGTAATAATAATAATAATAATAATAATAATAATAATAAAAAATAATATTAGTAATAATAATTAAAAATAATGAAAAGATATGGGAGACGATAATCGACGACTATTCAGTCAGTGAATGTGAAACATACGCGTATACACGAACTTTTACGATCAATATATATATTATACTACTAAGAATATACGTACGTATGTATGTATGTATGTATGTATGTATGTATATACGTAAATGTACGATACATATAGAACAAATCTGTCTTCTCCGTGTTCGATCAACGTTCGACGTTGAAAAGGCCTTAACTCGCTCTCCGAGAGAAGATTCCATCGCCTCAAGCAAGGAAGGAAAGACGATTTCCTTCGAATTGCTTTCCGCCAAGGATAAGGACTACTCTCAGAAGCGTTTATCTTTCTCGAATGAAAAGTTTCTATATATATATATATATGATATATGATGGGAACTTAGGTACATTGGTAGTATGCGTCTAACGCGTACCTATACATGTTATTGTACTTTAACGAGTGATAATGAGGATCGATCAAAATAACATAATGTGTAAAAGAAAAGAAAAGAAAAGAAAAGAAAAAGAAAAAAAATACAAAAGAAGAACGATCATTTCTCAATGTTCTATTATTAATAATGATCAAAGATTCGTGCGTTTATATCTAACGACTGTACGATATTTAAAAACGGATATTATTTTTCCACGTAATAAAAAAAAAAGAAAAGAAAGAAAGAAAGAAAATTATCCATCGTTTTACCGAGTCGGTTTGCGCACACACGGTGACAGGAGCTCATTGAGAATACTGCATTTATAATTACGTATATCCTCTTATTAATCAGCTATTTTTATGCCCAATTAGCATTCACAGCCAGCTTCGTGTAGTATCAGAAAGTGCATTTTCCATGAACGATAAATATAATAATTAACGAGAAATCGTCTAAATGCGACTATTATACATACATTAGATCGATAAGTATAGTTTATTGATAAACGAATTTTCATTATTAGGAATCATGCTAATTTATGTAAGTACTTATTTATTAAAGTGAATATTTTGTTGATTATCCTCAGGATCTTATAAATTTTATTCATCGTTATTTTCTCTGTTCACTTACTTTTTTCTTTTTTTTTTATTTCGTACGTGTCTTCTTTTTATTTTTAATTTTTTTTTTTTTTTTAACACATGGGCTATGTATAGTGTACTACTCATGTGTGTGTGTGTGTGTGTGTGTGCTCATACTGTGCTCCTCGCGATCAGGAGAGTGACTAAATTAGTCAATTAACTATTTCGAAATAAAAAGAAATAATCAAATGAACACGAAATTGCAAACCCAGCAAAGTTCTATCATGAAAAAGAACAATGTTAAAAAATAGATACATACAGAAGTGAAGAGATACCGATCAATACTTGATATTCCCGTTTGTGTACAGGTTAACGATTAGCAATTTAGGTCTTTAATGTACAGAGTGTACACATTTGTATATAATTTCTCTATAAACACTTTATTAAGCCGATAAGAGTAATAAATATAGTACTTTTAAAGTAAATATTGTTTAACTTCTTGCACCCTTTTCCTATTCCTACAAATAAACAGAAAAAATTGTTTGAAATTCAAAAAAAGGAATATTTATATATATATATATATATATAGATTAAATAAAAATTTTAAATAAAATGAATGTCTTTAAATTAATAAATATTTTTCATAGCAAATGCATTGATCAAATTTATTATTTAAAATATGGCAGATAGAATTTGAATTGAATTCGTTTATAAGATTAACTACGAATAAGCAAAAAAAAAAAATTATTTGCTCAATTTAATCTCAAAGTTTCTACTAGATCATTGTGAAAACAAACTAACGTAGACGACGAGCGCGTCTATTGAAATTTTGCAAAGGTTGGAAAGGCGTATGAAAAAGCGAAAAATAGGAGAGGGAAAAAAAGGGGTAAGAGAATAGATCGTTCTGCGGTTTTCTCTGATTTGAGGAATTTTCGTGACGCGAGAGCAAGACCAACGAAACGTGAATAACGAAGACAGATGGGACAAATCGCGCAAAACGCAAACACGGGACGTTTCTCCTACGAAATTATGGCTTACAGGTTTCTCTCTCAGTTTCTCATATACCTAACATACACAATTCATACCTAACTATGCATATACTTATATGTATGGGTATTACATGTTAGTGTAATATACATATGTATATTACGAAGTTTTATCTCTTCCACATAATATATAATTTATGTGTGCGTACCTCGTGGTCTTGCACAGTAGAGAGTACTACCGGAGAACGGTAAAATGACATTTTTAATGGCGTATCCCATCTCGCTATGTTCCATCAAAAATTACGTCACTCCCAAATTACGCTTCTTGGCAAGAAAGCGCCGCACCCCGACTCTGGAAAAATCGAATGCTACGATAGTAATTTAGTGAGCTACTCTCACTATTCTACTTTCCTTCCCTTCTTTTTTTTCATTCGCCATTCCATTTTTTGATCTCTTCTTTCATTTGCACTACTGTTACTTTTTAACGTGTAACGCGCACTTCTTGCATATGCGAAAATTTTACCTTTTTTATTAGGATCATGATAAAATATAAAAACGAGTACTTTTTTTTTTTCTTACCCGCGATCATTATAACATCTTCTTTTGTTATGATACGAGTAATTTTTTGTTCATTTTTTTGTTTTTTGTTCTAACTTTTATCATTACCACATGAAATTTTTCGCTGTACATAATATTCACGCGTATGAATAATTATATCCAGAAAAGTAATTGATAATAATGATCAACTGTACTAACGGATGATTTTTTGTTTGATGACTATTAGACAAATTTAATTTCGTATGATAGAAAATAAATTGATGATAATTAATATTTCAAATGAATTATCGATTTCCAATAAATTTGAAATGGAACATACCGTCGATTATCCAATTGTATCTACCAGTTTGATCCAAATTAGTAGGACAATTTAGCAATCAGTGGATCCACTCATGGGAATTTCGGAAGGTCCACTAAGACAAGATACGAATTGCAAACTATAACAGGAGTGTAATGTAACTGTGAATTCAAGAGTACATAGCAATAGGGATTCAATATCGGGTAGGTACTTGACCGACAATCGATTCTATCGAGTATTCATACGTCTAACTGTATGGTCCTTAATCACTTATGGTTACAGAGATATTAACTATAGGTACAACTGAATTTTTCAAGTTGAATCAAACTATTTTTCACTGGATTTTATTTTCTAAGTTTTAACGTTCAAACGTATATGAATATTATCGTTCAAAATTTATAAAGTATTAATCATTTCAAATATCAATTAAATACAAATAAATATATATATATATATATATATATATTCTGATGAATCAAGTGGTTCAATGATCAACAAGATTTCTATTTAGATCAACAAACTTCTTCATATACAATATGAGATATAAACTCTGTATGGTTCAAACTATCAAAAGTTTTAACCACAAGTTTGATAGTTCGATCATGTGGAACAATGGCACTATACATCATTCTGTTTTTCCAATTATATCGTAACTTCTATCGTTTGTCATATCTCGCCAATATAATAACGATCTCTCGTTATTCGATATTTGACGTTTCGCGAATTTTTTTTTTTTTATACAATTTTTACGTATAGTATATTGTATATAAAATAAATCTGTACATATGATAGGAAATAAAAGAAGCATATGAAAAGAAAAAAAATACATACGTATACCGATTTTGATGTATATTTCTAAACCAAAAAGCAAGAATAAATGTTGGATTAGTTCGTATGGTAAAATTCGTTATAAAAATGAAGCGCAGTGGTTTTGGCATATAGTTTTATCTGATATTTGTATTAGTGATTCTGATAATAAAATAAATAGAAAGAAAAAAAAAATAAATGTTTTTAATTATTAGACTTGCAATTAATAATTAAATTGTTATAATTTATCAACACATATTTGTTTCACATAGTCAGACTATTATTACGTAAATATAGATCAAGTGTAATAATTAAGTGATACAGACACAAATGAAAATTTGCAATCGTTACTATTATATTTAAATAATCGATTTTATTATTTTCTCTTTCTATACGTTTCGTGTATGAACTTCACAACATTCTCTATAAAGTTCACGAATGCTTGAATTCGGGTTGGTCTTTAAAATTTAAATCGACACTGCGTACGTTCATGAATGTATGCATAACGAATATAAAACTAACACTTGCGTTTACATAGTACCAACTTTCCTTTGAAAGGATACATTGATAGGAAAGAGATTAACCGACCGATTGAACTGGAAGATATTTTCAAACGAATGGTACCAACAAAAAAAAAAGAATTGGAAATGAATGTTTGATTTTTTCCAAATCTTTAAATTAAACTTTTATTTGCTTTATTTTCTTTGTTCGCAGCAACGACGACAACAACGATCATAGGAACTCAAAAGACCTATGTATATATTACATATAGATAAGTAAATGCATTTACATGTATGCATTCGATGTACCATCGATACTTGTGATCGTCGATAAGTCACGAAATTCATAAAATCTGTATAATCGACTGATTTATCTTTTTTTTTTTTCTTCTTCTTCTTTTAACTTGCTTTTACGAAAGAGAAAAAAAATACATAACAAGTATGTATATTGATGGGATTTAATAAATTGGAATATGTCAACATATATGAATAAACGAAACTGACATAAGCGTAAAAGTAAAAGTTATCATACAAAGATGAAAAAAAAAAATCAAAGGAATACTACTAACTAATATTAATTGATAAACAAATATTTACAGTATTATTTATTCATTTTTTTATTCATATTTTATAATTACTAATAATTAAAAAATTAATTATTAGAATTAGAGAGTGTATTTCAACGTTGATTTATAATAAGAACA